ACTAGAGCAAACTTGCGCATTTAGTATCTGCGCAGGGTGGGATGTCAAAAGGGCTTAAGTTTTTTCAAAAACAGTTCACACTATTACCCAGTCCATCAATACAAGATGTTGTCAGTGAAATCATCTGCTGCGAGTTCCGCGACAATTGTCATTCCCAATGAAGATCATGTTACTGATGAAGTACAATTACTAAATGAACTTTTGCAAGAACAGAAGCTCTGTGTAACGCCGAAGGAGAAAAAACAGATTGCCAAGAGGATCGCAGAAACGAAGAAAGAGATAGCCGAAATGGAAGTCGAAATGGAGAATTATAAGAATAGTTTTGTTGAAGAGAATAAAGAACAACCGTCCAAAATAGTTACGGTTGTAAGTTTTCTGTCAAGTATTGGATTAACGACGTGCGAGAAGAGCAAAGAATTAATTGCAAATAAGTCAAAAAGAAAGACGAGGTCTTCAATTAAAAAACCAAAGAGATATTTAGAAGAAAACTATCAGGTACCGTTATCTAGCCATAAAAAAAAACGATGGATTCAGTAAAAGGACTTCGTCGATTGATGTCAAGGATGCACCTAGAGGCTATGGTGATGGTATTAAACCAATAATTCAAAAAATAGTCGATGGAAGACTGACTCCAATGATATCTGGTAAATGGCTTCAAGTGACGCGATAGATGTTGGACGTGGTGGAAAATAATTGTCTTCAGCAAATTTTGAATTCTAAAAAGGAATACGTGATTGCACAAGAGATAAAACGTGGTCGCTGAACTATTTTGCGCTTATATTTTGAAAGCAGAGAACAGGAAGAGAGTAGAAAGAAAATATAAAATTATAATATTATTGCACAATCTACCAAGCTGAGTACTTACCATTAATATGTCAATGTGATAGCTGCTGAACTATTATGTCGTGAACAAGAATTGGTCGATTTAACTTATTTATTGGGCAGCAAAAGCATAGCACATTCTTAAATAATATAATATGTAAACTAACGTTAGCCCTTTGACCAGTCTATTAATATATATATTTTTTTTAATTTTATGTTAGAATTTAAGTATGTATAGAATGTACTTTTTTTTCTTATGTATTCATGTTTGGCTAATAAATTATTATTATTATAAAAATAACAAAACAAAATATAATAAAGAAAGTAAAAAATGAAATAATTATTACTGTTAATAATGATAAAATAAAATTTATATAAATAAAATAACACAGAATATTACATCCTTTGTGATGGTGTAGTGTTGGCGGCTCCTTGACGCCTGTATTACACGTCGTGCTCAAGTTTCTCGAGGCATTTGGCTTCCCGACCAAACGCACACCACAATTCGGCGATTTCGATGACATCTTCTTCGTTACGTGGCCATGATAGAAGGCCACGTAGGCCTTGTAGAGTCATTCGCCTCTCTACGCTGCTTCTCCAGGTGGTTTTCAAATGGCAGCGGAACAAGCAATGTTGAATTGTGTCCTCTTCTTCGCCTCAGGCACAATCCGATAACTCTGTTTGGTTGAACCGCTTTTGGTAGTGTCCAAATTTGTCATGCCCAGTGATCAGTTGTACCGCCTGGTGAGGTAGCTCGTCCTTCTTCCTCTGCCATTCCGTGATAGACGGTATAAATTCTCTGGTCTAGATACCAGTCTCAGAGGTGCTTCACCTTCTCAGACAAGCTTCGGCCGAGTCTTGAGAAATTAGCGACTTGAGGGTTGCCATGGAGTACTTAGTAGTGGCATGTTGGATTAATCAGCGCCAGATGCAGATTTAGCCAGTTGTTCTGCCCTATCGTTACATTAATTCTCGACGTGCGCCTTAATCCAGTGAAATGGTAGCTGGATCCTTCTCCCTGCTAACTGTTTAACTAGCTCCCAGGTCTCATGCTCGAGCTCCGTGAGAACCTCGGTACGTCGGAGTGCCTCCAAGGCTGCTCTGCTATTAGACAAGATCGAATAGCTCTTGTCCTCCCTCGATAGATTTGTCCAGCAGATATCCCAGAGCTTCTTTAATGGCGAGCAGTTCTGCCTTGAAGACTGTACAGAAGTCGGCTAGTTGATGGTGAACCTCTCAACCTTTCTGATGATGTGACCCGAAATCGCAATGGATTCCTACTTGCTTAGTGTCCTGGACAGTCTTGTACTTAGGAGCTTGGCGGCTGCCGCGGATTGTTTTCGTTTCGTTTTCCGCGAAGTCCAACTTGATGTCAATTGTAACGCCTAGGTACTTGATGTGGTTGGAGCAATGAATGGTTTCTCCAGCTAATTTGAAAAGTGACTTCCGCTGATTTGTTTTCTTCCCGAAGAAAAGGGCCTCGGTCTTCCTGGCGTTGAACGCCAACTTAGCAGACTGTGTCCAGCGCATCGTTGAACGTGGTGGAAAATAATTGTCTTCAGCAAGAAGAGCTAAAGCACTAAGTGTGTAACTGAAAGTAATTTAAGAGTTAATTGCTAATATCGATTGTTACTTTTGTGGAAGGTTATGTATATATTGATTTTCGAGATTTTCGAATATAACATTCTGGTTAAATATATTTATTAAATTATATTATATAGTTATTTGTTAATGAATTTTAATAAAAGAAAATTGAAATTATAGATGTGTTTTATTTATTTTATTATTAATAGTATTGTTTTTTGTAAAAAGAAGAGTTCAACGTTTCAAGAATATTTAAATCTTGTATTGTCATTTATTGATAATAACAACTGGGATTTTTTATTCTGATTTACTGACGGTGAAGGTTCTTAACCTATTTCCAAATGAAAAAAAGGATGCTACTTTATAAATCTATAAATTGGTCTAGTTTAAGTATATAGTGTAAAGAATGATGTAAGTGATTGTGGTTATTTCAGGACTTTTAACTGTCAACTTGAGAATGAAAGCAATTTGTACACGATATAAAACTAGCAATAGATGGATTCAGGCAATCAAATTTTGAATTCAAAAGAGAAATACATGATTGCATAAGAAGTAAAACGTGGTTGCTGAACTATTTTTTTGCCTATATTTTGAAAGCAGAGAGATGGAAAAGAGTAGAAAGAAAATTAAAGATTAAAATATTATTGCACAATCTACCAATCTGAATACTATTATGTAGTGAACAAGGATTGATTGATATAGTCTAACAGCAGATGCCGCATTGGAGGCTCTAATAATATATTATAGCACCCATTACGCTACAGCTTCAAACTTGTGGAATGACTAATACAGTGATGAAACGAAATCAACTTTTGCTGCATTAACGGGACATACTTTGCCAAAATGTACTATCACAATTTGTAAAATGTTTTGAATTAATAATGAAAAATGGATAATATTAGGGAATCGCAAGAAAAGAACATTACAATGGACACATTGACATGTCAATTGTTTACTGACCACGAACAATTTGAGGAATATAAAAATCGAACACATCTATTTGTGGCTATGAATAGAACACTTCTATACGAGATTTAAAGAAAATTCCATTAAAAGTAAACTGTGGTGGAAAAATTTGGATTAACAAAATGTATTCATCAAGTGTATGGTTCACGATACGGAGTACAATCTCAAATAAATAAAAATGAGCAATACAATTCTACTGTTTTGCATCGGTGTAAAGATAAATACATAAATAAGATATTGAATATAATATTATTGGAGCTACTAATAGCCGAATGGTTAAGTCGCCCTACCCACGATTCCGTGGGCGCCGGTTCAAATCCTGGTCAAGCTAGGCCCTTTGTGAGCCCTCTCAATGCTTGCAGCAATAGGGCCATCGTTCATCATAGATGAACAGTCAAATGAATGAGGTTTAGCATATGGACCTTCAGCCAAGTCCATGGACAATGACAGTGGAAGAAAATAGTGGAATCGCAGAGCATCAATATACTACTGACGTTAACCTACAAGTCGACAGCCAACCAACAAATTAAAAAATCAAATCATCATAATGGTAACTATCCACCGGGAAATATTACCTACCGCAATCTTAAATTTGCTCAATGTTCACATTGTTGAACAGATTGTAAATAAAAATTATACAACATAAAAAAAATATAATATTATATAGAATTTGCAAAACGCGGTTTTTCTATGTACCTTATATCCGTGTTTCGCGAAGGCTAATTATACATACTTATCATTGATTAATAATATTTAGCAAATAAGTAAAAGTGTATTTTTAATAACCGCTATATTTAATTGATTTATTTATTATGATTTAAAATATTCCATATATCATATAAATTAGAAGAAATTAGATCACAAGTGTATGTTTAGAATATATTATAACTGGTAACTTTGACATAGATTAGTCAATTCTAAATATCTGCTTGTTCATACAATTATTAAGCATACGGCTACTTATTAAGAGTGACTTGGTCGACTCATTGACTGTTACAATAAAGAAAGCACTCACCTTCACCTTATCGTCAATGCCTTGAAAGATTATTACTGATTTTCGATAATTGAACAATCTATTTTTTTTTTCGAAAACTTAAATGAGCAAAATGCAACAGTCAAAATATGAAATGAACGTTTGCATTTTTGATATGCCAGAAGCTGATGACGTAGAAAGGGATGAGCATATTTTTATTGAGGGATGGCAAAATTATTTTGCTGTTTTGTTTGATTCCGTTTAGCAATAAGAAATTTTTAAATTGCACCAATTTTCTGTTAATGTTTTAATAAGTTAGGTGTGTCCTAATTCAAAATTAAGGTTATTATGTAACCGATTTTACATTCTCTTGTAACTAATTAAGTTTAGTAAGAAGATGCTGGGGATAGGTGATCTGGTGTCTAGTACACCTCTTGGATTGTACTTGATATTTTATTATTTTTGTAACTATGCATCAATTGAATTAGTGTTTTAATTGTGTGTTTGAATTAGTGTTTTAGTATAAGGTTTAAAGTGAAAACTCATTATTGTTATATTAAACCTATAATCGTATATTAAACATGGCAAGGTAACATAGCATAATAAAGTAAAATAAAATCACAGACACGTTGAACACAAAATAATAAAGGGCGTTTGTTGAGTATTAGCTTGGAATGCATTGTTGCGGTTCTCATGGCACGAAGTATATCATCATTCAAATTTGGTGAGGAAGGGTGCGATGGAGACAATGTCCTCGCAGTCGGGAACGATTTTTCCCTTGAACTTGACGCAGGCATCGGCACAGAGTTGACCCTCGAAGTAGGGCCCGAACATCTTCTTGCACTGCGCGCAATTCCTAATGCAGATCCCTGCAGGCAGAATGTAACAGGAGAACGAGATCAGAGCAATGCCCAAAAGAATAAATGAAATAGAACGAGCAGAGAAAAAAGAAACGAATGTGAAAGTGTCGCCGTCGTTTCAAATCTGTTTTGGACGGACTGACGGATTTCAGTTGAAATTTCGCAATTTTGTTGTTTGTTTCTTACCGATCGGGTTTGCCTCGACGACGGGGGATTGCGAAACCACCAGAAGCAGCAGCAGCGCGGCTCCGGTCAAGACAATGAATTTTCTCGAAGAAACCATATCTGGACACAGAAAAACAAACGCACGCAGGGGTGGAACAATGAAAGAAATACAGTACAATTGCAATAAGATGACGGGGTTGGTAAGTAGGGTCACATAGAGAGAGTAGAAGGGAGAGTATTATTTTCGTTGAACAAAAGGTGTGTTACAAATTTGATTTGGCTATTATATTACCCACCCCCTCTCAAGAATGGATCACCGATTAGCATAAACTTCGGCTTGGAGCTTTAAGTAACCAATCGATTTTTTTTGTATGGTACCGAATTCTGAACTCGATTTGCGCCAATTGTATTTATATGCGATTGGACAGGGAGTCACCGTCCGCGGAACCAATAGTCGTCCTTGTTCCAAGTCCGAGTCGCGTTAAATAACAGTTTTCACTCTCTCTCCTCATTTATCGTTATTACCATTATTTCAAGTCGATGTGGGGATTTTTTTTTCTTCTCTCGGAATCCATATACATATATATATATTTATTTATTTGGCATATTTAGACTGTGCAAGGCCGGGAGACCCGGATGCGAGGCACTTCTCCACATCTTCATTTCCGCAACACATGGATATTCATTATTCATCGCGCTTGTTTTTTTCTTTACTCCACGTCTCTATTTTTAGTTTTGTCTTGGATGTGTTCGTCTCTCGCGTCGAGCTTTCCGCTCTTCCTTCCTGACTGCTCAGATCTCTGGAAAAGGTTTTTTTAACTGCACTGATTCTCTATATAAGGATTGCGATCGCGAGTATTAATTATCCTTGGAGCGGGCAGCTTCCGGGTTATCCGAACCCCACAACTCCGTGCTCGAGTCGACTCGATGTTAATGGCACGGACGAACCTCCTTCTGTCCGTTGCCCGATGTTGTCGTAGGTTTATGGAAATTCGATGGCAATCAACCGGACAGAGGCTCGGACTCACCTTCCTTGGTTCTTTTTATTTACTTGCTTAAACCGCGGATTACGCAACGACAAACACAAACTAGCTAGCTTATTTGTTTCTCTTTTCACATCGACTTACTTGATTATTTCTAAATCTGCTGTTGTTATTATTGTTGCTGCTGCTCGTGTCTTCGTAGCTTCTGCTGTTGCTCTGTCGAAAGACTTGAAGGATGAACTGAATGATACTGGTTTTCGGGCAGCTTTATATATCGTTGAAACTAAGTGCGAAAACCGCAGGGGATGTTTAATGCACTTCTCTCCCAAATTCTTCACGCTTCCGATCCCATTTCCTACTAATACCATAATCGCATCTCAGCTAATTAATTGCACTTCGGTCTCGTAAAGATAACTACATATGACACTTCACACATCAATGCTATTTGAAATATTTACAGTTTTTTTTTGTCTCTCTCTCTCTCTCTACATATATATTTTTTATAATCCGGAACAGAATAGCAAGTATCGAATCTATTTATGGCAATTTATGGAAATCAATTCCACGCACGGATTTTTTCACATTTGCATTCACCTATAGTATTTCTTTCACATAGTTAATCAACACTAATTTAACTATCAAAATCCAACAAAAAACTTTTAGATTTAGTTAACTAGAAATTTAAACAGTGTTTGTAAATTGTAACAAATTTATTGAAATATTAACTTTCTGAAGAAATGCTCTTACAGTGGATCCTTGCTTAACAAGTCGATTAACGAGCAAATAAATTGTAACAACAATGACTCGCTTAATAGTCAACTTTTCGCATAACGAGAGAAGACCTGGATTCTGCGACTGCTACTTCATTTTTAAAACTTATGTTCAAACATATTATGTGTCCGCGAAGAAAAAGCCACTATAAGACCACAAAAAGAAGAGAATTAGGTATGTATCATAAATAATAAACTAATTATTTCAATTTTTATGTTTTCTACAAATCGAATTCGCATTCCAGATTGGTCCATTCGGCAATAGAAGAGAAGATGAGTGTTTCGCGTTACGAGTAAGAGTCTTATGTTCCACTGAATTAGAAAAAAAAATTGCAAATTTTTATATAAATCTCAATTTATTGTTCATATTTTATTTAAAATAAATAATATAAAATTGACTTAATTACAAATAACAAGCGTATATAAAATGCGCATTCAAATAAAATCATTCATTAGTATTAATTTATCATTCGGTAAGCAAACAAATTAGATGTAAACAACAAATACGAATATTACGATCTTATGTTAATTAGATATCAATGGAAACGAAAATGGATAGACGGAGTCGTCGAACTTTAAAATTTATGTTTCGATAACGCACGTTAATAATTCGATGCCTAATTGAGTGGTTGTTTACACGGAGTAAAGCGGATTTGCGTTGAATTCAAATTGAAACGAATTTGCGAAGCGAATATAACGCGTGTTATGTAACGCTGAACATTTTACATTTACGTTGAAACTCGTTTTGTAATTGATTTCGAGTAACTTGACTAATCGCAACTTGACTCGATGATTCATCTGATCTGTCTGACGTATTTTTTTATGGGTTTTACATTTTGAGGATTACTTAATCGATATAAAGAAATATCAAATATTGCATTGTTGGAAAATACTTCTTGGATTATTGAGATACTTCCAAAAAAATACTATTTATTTTTCCATTTAATAAGTTGCACAAAATCTTAATCATAAGTTATTTTTATTCGTTCTGTTCCGTAAAATGTGAACTTATAAATTGATAATTGTATTCCTAATAAATATATTTTGTTCACTGTTGATCTTTTTAACATTAAAAACAATATTTATTGTTATATTTATGTAATTACATAAATAATTCATATCTTTTCATATTTCTGATGTTTTTTACACTATAAAACAGTTATTCAAATTGTTAAAGAAAATATAGGTTTTTTTTAGGACCTAATGGAATTTTTTTTTTTTTTTTTTTTTTTTTTTTTTTTTTTAAAGCAATCTATCTACAAGAAGAAAAAGAAAAAAAAAACAGATAACATGCTCTAGATATTGACTAAATAATGAAATTAAAATTAAAATTTTTTTTATATTGGAGATTGATCCAGCGACCAAACTCCACAGAATGCCCATAAAAAAAAAAACTCACGAATCAAAGCGATTAGGGAGGTCCTGTGGTTTATATCGCTTTAATCTTCTTCG